TTCCCCTCGCTTCACATCCTCTCCAACACAAATTGTCTTTAGTGTTTTTGATTTTAGCCATTCTGACAGGAACAAGTTGGTGATTTTTGTTGTCTTCATTTTCAAGATTTGGAATGGCAAACATCTTCCAGTTTTCTGCATCCTTGACCAGGAATGAAAAAATTTAATCAGAACATAGTTGATGAAAAATGTATTTTCAACCAAAAAATATAATCAGGCATTTTTTTCTTTTTTCTTTTTCTTTTTTTTTTTTTTTTGGTTTTTCAAGACAGGGTTTCTCTGTGGCTTTGGAGGCTGTCCTGGTACTTGCTTGGTAGTCCTGGCTGGTCTCGAACGCACAGAGATCACCTGCCTCTACCTCCTGAGTGCTGGGATTAAAGGCGTGCGCCACCAACGCCCGGCTATAATCAGGCATTTTAAAGTTTATTTATCTTATGTTTTGTGTAAAAGTTTTCTGACATGTATTTCTGTGTAGCCTATGTATGCCTAGAGCCCATAGACGTAAGATATGTGTCAGATCACCTGAAAGTGAAGATACAATTATGAGTCACTATTTGAATGCTGGGAATCAAGCCTGGATCTTATATAAGAACAGCAAGTGCACTTAACCACTGAGCTGTCTTGTAAGTGCCTCTATCTAACATTAAAAGTCTGACAGGGTTGCTATAGTACAAGATATTCCTTGAAAACTTATAGCAGAAATCAACAACTTTTACCTCACTTAGATATATTGTAAATGCTTTCAATGTGCTTACTAATTTCTTTTGTCAATTTCACATTTCAAAATTCATCTTATCAGGTCTAAAACACATCTTCTTTTCAGAAATATTCAATTTCTAAAAGACCATAATTGGTAAATTTATCGTATCTGTGTCTTCATGTATTTGACTATCTATATTCACTTATTTCTTTTATAAAAATAATTTTGTGTGCTGGCATATGCGTGTGCATTGTTGTGTGTGTTTGTATGTGTGCATGCGTGTGTGTGTGTGTTTATGTGTGTATTTTTGTAGCCAATTGAGCCCCTGAATACAACTATAGTAATTGGAATTAAATGTAGCATGATGAATACTCATATGACACATAGGCCAATATGTAAATATTGCTTTTTAAATATAAATTCAAATAATTCCTGAGCTTTCCTTCTATATACCAAATAAACATATTTCCTTATCTGACTATTTTAGGAAACATACAAAATATAATAAGTACAATGGTCCAAAAACTTCACTTTTTTGCCTTAAATTGTAAATGGCTCTGTGTCGAATTTGGGTGTTTGGTATTCATGGGCTCAAAGTGTGAAGGAGGAACCCATGAGGACATTTGGAGGATAATTCAGTGAGATTGTTGTTTTTTACTTTGGATTAGCTCATATGTTTTGTCTTTTATCTCATGAATATACAGCATGTTGAACTCCGTTCTTAGACCAGCACTTACTTTGATTTTATTTTTTCTGGCTCCAGATGCATCAATTTCGTAGTTCCAAAAAGTGATTGCCAGGATGAGCCAAAATATTACTCAGAAAGCCTTTTGCTATTGCTGCAAATATTGCAACACTGTTTTATTTCAAATTCTTATTAGATTTTCTAAAGCTGAAAAAATCTTTCAACTTCTAGACTATCTAGGTCAAGGTCAGAGTGGTTTCCGAGACTTTTTTGCTTATATCAACTGTTTTGAAATTCCAAACTCATCAACAGCCTCTCTTCTTTAGAGTAAAAATAATCTATTTCTTTTTTTTCACATGTTGTAGAGTTTAATATAAGTTATCTACAGGGTTGTCATACTTCCTATAAGATATTCTTTGATTCCTCATGCCAAACTGTCAGTTGGTGATTTCCAACTGCAAATCATTGCTTACAATCTTTAAAATATCCCTTGATTATAGAGTTCTATTTTAAGTCACTACCATCATTCTTCATGAAAATTTTAAATGAAATATTGACAGTTCATATTCATTTAGGATATATGCACCCTCTGCAGTTCTTCATATTTTTGCATGAAATAATTTCAAACATAGGGATACATAATGTTGTAGATAATTTTGATGAGTGTGAGCTTTGCCTGACAACCTATTAATTTTTGAAAGATTTTGCTCAGTTCTATGATATACTGTCATAGAAGAAATAGGATTTCCAATTCACTTATGCTGAAATAGAGCATTATCATATTCATACACTCAAATTATTCACAAATGTCACCCATGTGAGTCTCCAGTTGGGTGATTAAAATTAGCTCCTATACAGTGTCACTTTTTTGAAGCTGAATATGGATGTTAATATATTTGGTTTAGTCTTAACATAATTATACAGAAAAGAACACGACCACGTAGTACTAGCTCATGGAAACTAAAAGATAGACATCACAAATGCAAAGAATGTTTTACAAATTGTAAAGTTCTAGAGTTTTAGAAAATGATTAGGGAGATGTACAACAAATGGTAAAGTGTTTGTTAGAAACAAATAAATTAAAGTGATATATAAAATGGTCTATACGTTCTTGAAAAAGTGAAAAAAATGCATGTTTTTATACTGAAATGGTAACTGTCCAAGATTATGCTTGTGAAATATCTGGATGTACCAACTTCACATGATTAATATTCTTCATAACAAGAATCATGATATAAATAGTAAGCAAATTCTTATTTAATAATTCCCATTGAGATGACTCAGTGGGTTAAACGCACTTGCTGAACAAGTTCAGTGCTCTGAATTAATGCATATTAAAGCAGAAGGAAAAACTGAGTCCTCAAAATGTTTTGTTCTATACAAGTGTGGACCATAGCATGTGCACCTACACATATATCATACACCTGCAAATAATAATAATCATAATAATAATAATAAGTTATAAGCAAATATGTAAGTAGATAAAAATGAAATAAAAGACATTTTCATGAATTTTGATAAAAATTTTTCAGTAGACAGTAAAGGTTTATTGAGTGTAATGCTGGATATTAAACAAATAAATAATGTTTTAATATGATATGGTCTATGTTCACTTTCTAACTCATTACTATTTTAAGTTTAATAATTGCTTGTATTTTGAAATCAAAATATAATTGCACTATATCTAGTAGTGTGGTATTTGTTTCTGTCCTGACAAAGATTGCCTGGAGATCAGACATCAGGCAGTGGTGGTTCACACAGTTAATCCTAGCACTCGGATGTGGAAAGAGGAGGAAGAGGTGGTGGGGAGAGGAAGTGATAAGGTGGGGCAGAGATAGGATCTCAGCCTCTTGGGTAGTGGAATGGAGTCATGTAGGAAGCAACTGGAAGGTCGTCCTGGTTCTCTGATCATCCAGGATTTTACCCTGATATTTGACTCCCAAAGTTTTATTGATTGAAATTAATTATATTTATGCATCCATTTCCCTTCTTTCCTCTCTTCAAGTCATCCCATGTACCTTGATTTCTCACAAACTTGTAGCGACATTTTTATTGTCATTTTATACATACACACACAATGACTTAGTATTTACAAAAGTGTTTCCTTACTTTATCTTATGAATATGTATTCATATACCTAAGTATATGTATGTGCATTATATGCAAGCACATCCGAAGAGATAGTGAGCAACCATATGGGTCCTGTTAACAAAACACAGGTACTCGGAAAGAGTAGCCAGTTCTCTGTCTACTTATCTATTTATCCAACCCCATTGACTTTAATTTTTATTTAAAAGTACAAAAACAAAAAGACTATAAATTTTAATCCATTTTTGTGTTAGTGCAACTTATTTATCTAAGAATCTCAGAATTCTCATACATATCCCCATTTCTTCTCTCTACTAGTCTCATTTCAAGATTCCTACCATTGGTTTTGTTTGGGAGCCATTTAGTTTAACAGGACCATCTCTATGATCATTGTTTTGGGACTACCATTGGAATCTGATGGAATCAACCATGGGTGTAACATGATTAATGAAACCCAGAGACAGCTACTGGGGTTCAAGATGAAGATCATAAAAGCAAAGAAGACAGACACTACTTCTTTCCTCTACCTCAGGTTGAAATGACTGGCTTGTCTTCAGTCTGACTGGAGAATAAATCTCTGAGGCTGAATGCTAAATGTTCCGCTCCTATGCAGAATGCCCCTCTCATACTTATACACTTCTAGAGAGCTTGGATTAAAGGAGTGAAATCCTAAATGCTGAGATGGCCTTCGTGTGACGTTTCTGTTTTAGACTGATTCACTCTATAGTGTAACCCTGGGAGGTCTTGAACTCACAATGGTTCATCAGCCTTTGTCTCCTGAGTCCTGGCATTAAAGTTGTGTACCACCACTGCCAAAGTTCTATAGATAACTAGTGTGACTGGTGGATTAAAGGTGTGTAGCACCATTGCATGACTCTATGGCTGTGGCTAGATATGCATTTTAATCTCCAGTGACTTTCTTAAATCATAAACAATGTATTAACAACCATGGCTGTACAATTAAAGATGATAAATTCACTAGTCACTATAGTTCTGGTTTGGTGTAGGAGCTGCTGAACCATCCTGCCACCTATATTTACCTGGTTACTGGCTGATGAGCATATTACTATGAAGAAGCATTGTAAGAATTTGTAGTTTCTATGAGTTTATGGTTGCAATAACAATCTTTTCCCTAGGAAGATTGCATTTTGCAATCTGTTTCCCTATAGTCCAACTCTAATGTTGTTTCCTCCCATCATACTAATTATTCCTTCAGCCTCAGCAGTGATGGTACAAATGTCTTATTTACAACTGAGCACTGATCCACCCATCACTACCATTTATTCTCAGTATTTTGAATATTCATGACTCTGAATTCTCTGTCATTGACTGAAGAGAGATTTCTCTGATTAAGGCTTACAGTAACATTTGAAGGTGAGTATACATATAAATAAAATATGTTTTGATGCTGCGTCAACTTAGCCAAATAACTGCAGTAACTCCATGGCTCTGGTCTATATCCTCCCAAGTCATGTGATGCTGCAATGATGAACAGCATACTTACTGAAAGTATAAATAAGTATTTATTGTAGAAATTACTCACGAGAGAAAAACAAGCAACCCAGATGAGCCGAGTATTTTTCTGCTGCCAAACTGGAATCTGGAAAGAGAGCGAGACGATCTGATCAGTCTTTCATTCCTTCCTCCGTACATGCCCTTAGCCATGCCCAAAAGTGGGCCTGGCTAGTGATGTAGTTCACCGCCTATGTCCATATATGTCTTTAGTCATGCCTAAAGTAGGTGTGGTTAGCAGTGTGGTAAACTGCCATTTTATTACCTCATCTGTATGCACCTCTAATATGCCACATGGCTAATGGCGGAGCACTGTTTCCTCCTACAGTCATGTGCTTTTGATCATCCCAAACCTCTTAGAGCAACAAGCCTCATTGTCAATGCCATAGTGGTTGGTTACATCTATATCTGTTACATACACCCCTGTTTCACAAGTGAGATGATAACTCACAGGCTAACTATTGATAGCTTTTCCTCCACAGTAGCCTGCATAGTATGTTCTGTCAATGAATGACATCTTGTATATAAAGCCCATTTTCATTATCTGATCATTGGTTGATGAATGTAGGCTAATTCCATTTCTTTCCTACAGTAAATACAGTGGCAACAAACATGAATTAGTAGTAGGACTTCAATTACAGAACTATTCCTGTTCTCTGCAAGTACATTCTATGTTTATTCATGGTTTGGTGAAAGGGATTTTTATTTTTTATTGAACAGTTTGAATATGTTTATAATTGTTCTTTTGAAATCATTGTGTTTGCATTTAAGTGTTATTCTTAGAGACAATTACTATGGGATTGGTGAGTTTTGTGGAGCAGACGTATGTTGTCCTGGTGTTTTGATATTGCTTGTTAACCAGACCTAGGCATTTGTAATTATATTGTTGGTTGTATCTATTCCTGTTGTTGGAATTTTTTGTAACAAGGTTTAACTGTAGCATAATTTGGCCTGGGCTTTTTTATGTAGACCAGGCTGTCCTAAAACTCACAGAGGTCAGCCTGTCTCAGTGTACCAAGTACTGGGATTAAACACATGCCTGGCTACATTGTATCTCTTGATAATAGACATTAACCCATACAGCAGACACCAGAAGGCTAGCTATGGACACTGCTTATGGACTATAGTGTTTTTCCCCTTTTCTAAAATTTAAATTAGAAACAATCTTGTTTTATATGTCAATCAGTTCTGTCTCCCTCCCCTCCTCACCTGTCCTCACAGGAGAGGGTGAGACCTTCCAAGGGGGATCTTCAAAGTCTGTCATATCATTTGGAGCAGGGCCTTGGCCCTTGCCCATGTGTCTAGGCTTAGAGAGTATCCCTCTATGTGGAGTGGGCTCCCGAATTCCATTACTGTACTAGGAATAAATACTGATCCACTACCAGAGGCCCCATAGATTAGCCAGACCTTCAAACTAACATCCTCATTCAGGGGGTAAGGAACAGTCCTCTACTGGTTTCCCAGCTATCCATTTGGGGTCCATGAGTAGGTGTTTCTGTGGGTTTTTCCAGCCTGGTCTTGACCTCTTTGCTCATCAGTTCTCCCTCTCTGCAACTGGATTCCAGAGTTCAGCTCAGTGTTTAGCTGTGGGTGTCTGCTTCTTATTTCATCAGCTACTGGATGAATGCTCTAGGATGGCATACAAGGTAGTCCTTAATCTCATTATTACAGAAGGGCATTTAAGGCAGTCTCCAACTATTACTTAGACTGTTAGTTGAGGTCAACCTTGAAAATCTCTGAACATTTCCCTAATGCCAGATTTCTCTTTAAACCTACAATGGCTCCCTGTATTGTGGTATCTCTTTTCTTTCTGTCTCCTGTTTTTCCCCGACTCAATCTTCCTTCTCTATCATGTCCTCCTCTCCTCTCCTCTTCTCCCCTTATCTTTCTCCAAATGACTGAAAGACACATAAGGAAGTACTCAAAATCCTTAGACATCAAGGAAATGCAGATCAAAACAACTCTGTGATACCATATTACTCCTGTTAATGCCTAAAATCAAAAACACAAATGACAGTTTATGCTGGAGAGGATGTGAAGAAATGGGAGCACTCCTCCACTGCTGGTAAGAGTGCAAACTCTTACAGCTTCTTTGGACATCAGTATGGTGGTTTCTCATGAGAAAGGGAATCAGTCTACCACAAAGTCCAGCGATTCCACTCTTAGGTATATACACATTCATACAACAAGGACATCTGTTCAACCATGTTTATAGCAGCATTATTTGTAATAGTCATAACCTGAAAGCAACCTAAATGCCTCTCAACTGAAGAATGGTTGGAGAAAATGTGGCACATCTATTCATTGGAGTACTACTCAGTGGAAGAAACAATAGGATCTTGAAATTCGCAGGCAAATGGATGAAACTAGAAGAATCCTGAGTGAGGTAACCCAGTCACAAAAAGAAAAATATGGTATATATTCGCTCATATATGGATTTTAAACATAGAGCAAAGGAGTACCCACCTACAATTCGCACCTGCAGAGAAACTAGGGAACAAGGAGGACCCTAACAGAGACATACGTGGTGCCCCAGAGATGGGGAAAGGGACAATATTTCCTGAGACAATTGGAAGTATGGGAAAAGGGGAGAGGAAGTTGGACTATAGTCTTTTACCAGATCCAGTTGTGCAGCTAAAGCATCCTGAGTCATGGTGGTGAATTAATAACTTATATAGTCCCTATCATGTAAAGCTGAGAAAAATCCATCACTTGCTATGCCAACCAACCATATTGTTTGGGTACTAGGAGCATAGAGAGGATCCTATGAAGGACCAGACTGAGCTATCTAACTGGATATACAAGTCCCAGTCAAGGGATGGATATATTCATGGAGTTTTGGTTAAAGAGAATGGAGAGGACTAGCAAAATACAGTGTCTTTCTGGGTGCTAATTGTAAGGCTTAGAATTTTTTATGACATCCTCAATTTTGGCGCAGCTATCAAACACATGGCCTCAGTCCCTGGGGAGAAACATGAAATGGTGTCAGTCCTATGCAAACTATTCCTGGGCTCGGTACTTGGAATGAGTCAGATTTATATTCTTATTTAATTACAATTAGCATAAAATATCATAAGTAATTTTCCATTGAAATATTTTGATAGCTTGTAAAACCTAACATTAATGATTTGGTCTATGAAATATCATGTTAAGCTAAATTATTTCATAATTTGCTGTGGTTAAAATTATAAAATGAAATGGAAATATTTTTCTTTAATCAACTTTACTAATTTATAACAATTAAAATTGCCTTTCAAAACTTGACTTTTGTAGACTTCAAATTAAGGGGAAATTTATTAAGAACTACTATTAAATGCATAAAAATACCTTGTTTGGGTGTGTTTAAAATGACATATCTAAGCACAAATAATTAGCTACTTCATTCAGTTATTGACTATATACCCTGGAAATATCCTTTGGATTACACAATTTTAAAAATTGTTAACCTTTCTATAATAAAGACCCTAGAACTTAGTGAACAAAGCTCCGTGTAGGTACAAGCTTGTCAGCTCCGTGTTAAATGAGTTGTATGGGTGTTGTGCTCAGCAATAGAGACTTATTCTTTGTGTAGAACAACTTATTATCATAGCAACAGTCTCTGTTGCTTGGGGATTCCTGTGGAGTCTTTTCAGATAAAAACTCAATTAGATGGAACATAAACCTGGGACTGGATGCTCATTTGATAAGAAGAGATGACTAGTAGGCCTCTGTATCCCTCATTATTTTACAATTTCTTTTATATTGCCTAAATATATATAAATATTTTAGGAGGTTTCTACTGAATTAGGTTTCCAAAGTACCTCTTAAATGTCTCTTAATTATAACTGTTTCTTCCCATATACCTTTTTTTTTGCTTGGGAGACTCAGTGGCAGACTCCAGGCACTGGAATGTGGCCCAGAAATAGGCCCCTGTTTGCCTGGTCCCATGGGTGGAGGAGGAGACCAGGAATCCGGGGTGCCTGGGCTCCTACCAGGAGGGAAGTCTCAATTGGGGTCCCCAGGCACTGGCACACAGGCCTGGATACTGGCCCTGGTTTTTGAAAGTTTCTTTTTCTCTGCTATTTGACCTTCTTCTACTCAGAATTCTATTTAGACAGGTACCCCATTTCTAATTGGATTATTTTTCCTTGATATCTAGCTTCTTGAGTTCTTTATATATTTTGAACATGAGATCTCTACCAGATGTGTAGGTCATTAAAATCATGCCCCACTGTATGAGATGCTGATTTGTCTAAATGACATTGCCCTCTGGCTTGCAGAAGACTTTCAGTTTCATGAGTTCCAATTTATTAATTTTAGATCATAGATCTTTCTTCTTGTGTTTATGTTGGTGTATTCCCTTGAAGATCTTTGAAGAGTTGTGTTGAAATTTTTGTGGGCTTGCATTTAATTTGTAGATTGCATTTCATAGAATGACCATTTTGATTCTATTGAAAATGGTGTTTTATTTTTTTCTGATTTCTTTCTCAAATCATTTGCAATTTGTACAAGGTAAGGGAAGAAGGTACTGATTTTTTTTATTAATATTTTTTTTATTTTCCATTTTAAATTTAGATAAGAAACAAGGTTGCTTCACAAGTCAGTACGAGGTCCCTCTCCCTTTCCCTCCCCTCCTCCCGTGCCCTCCCCCCCATCCCCCACCCGTTATCCCCTCATTCCCCCAGGGAGGGTGAGGCCCTCCATGGGGGTATCCATAGTCTGTCATTTCATATAGGGCAGGGCCTAGACCCTTCCCCAAGAGTTCAGGGTGAGAGTGCACCTCACATTGTTCTATGGGAGTCCATAGACCGTGTGTATACTTGGGATGGGTACTGATCTGCTGTCCAAGGCTCAATAGATTACCTAGGCCTCCTCACTGACACCCAGATTCAGGGGGTCTTGATCAGTCCCATGCTGGATTCCCAGGCTGATGCCTGGGATTCAAGAGTTAACCTTTGTCTGGTCAGCTGTTTCTGGGGGTTCAACCAGCCCAGTCTTAATCCCTTTGATCATCAGTCCTCCCTCTCTGATACTGGCTTTCTTGAGTTCAGCTCAGTACTTAACCAGCCAGAAGGTACTGATTTTTGTGAGTTAATTTTATATCGATTT